GGGTTTCTATTGCTGCAATAAAACACCATGATTATAAGCAATTTGGGGAAGAAAGTTTATTTGGCTTACACTTCCACATCATGGTCCATCACTGAAGGAAGTCAGGAGAGGAGCTCAAACAGGACAGGAACCTGGAGACAGAAGATGATGTAGAGACCATGAAGGGGTATTGTTTACTGGCTTGCTCCCCATGACTTGCCCAGCCTGCCTTCTTGAAGAGCCTAGGACCACCAGCCCAGGGAATACAACTGGCTGGTCCCTACCCCATTACTCACCAATTAAGAAAATACCCTATAGCTTGATCTTGTAGCAGCATTTTCTCAGTTGAGATTCCCTCCTTGAAGATTATTCTAACTTGTGTCAAGTTGCCATAAACCAGCCAACACAAGGATACAGTTCTCCATGTCCCTATTCGTAGCCCAAGCTTCCCTCCCTGAGTAACATTCAGTATTCACTCATTGGAAGGGGAAGTGAATTACTGTTTATTCCAGAGTTGCTTTGGATGCATGAAATTGTATTGATCTAGCACATTTACTTCATTATAATAACATTGTGAATTATCAATATTAGACCCAGTTACACATGTAAGGACATTTTCATAGCAGAGGTAACACAGCTGCTATGGCTTGGATATGTTCCACCCACCTCTCAACTAAGTGCATTGAAAACTTAGTCCCCAATGTAGAACTGTCAGGGGATGGGACACAGTGGGCCTTGGGGGCACAATGGCAGGTTTTTGGGGCCTCAATGATCCTCTCCTTAAACATGAAATGGTGCTGACTATAAAAAGGGCTTGAGGATTCAAGTTTAATCTCCAACTCTCTCAACTTTAACCTTCCTCCATGGGATGACATAGCAGAAAGGACCTGCCATACGACTGCCTCTGGACTTTAGACTTTCTGGCATCTAGAACTATGATCATGTAAATTTATATTCACTATAAATCACCTTGCCTGGGGTATTTTGTTATAGCAGCACAACTCAGAATGATACAGCTCACCACATGATTCTCAGTAGGAAAACTGGCTAGCCAGGGGCATTTTCTCCTGCAACTGAGATTTCTGAGTTTTTTTGTTGTTGTTTTGTTTTGTTTTGTTGGAGCAGGGAGGGGGGCACTATGGTACCAGGTGGAAGACATACATTGTCCGCTTGGAAGACAAGTGGCTGCAACATAACACATGCAATCAAGTGGGATGAATGAAGTCTGGGGGGGGCATATGGGGTCGTTTGGGAATAGATAGCAGGAAGAGATCAGTTTCCTCTGATGGGAAAACTGTCAGCTCAACTCAAGAGTGGAATGGAGTCTGAGGTAGGCAGCCCACAGAAGAGCTGGGAATGGACTAATGAGTTACTGAGGGCAGGGGTCCTAAAGAATTATGCATGAAGAAGCAGGAGTTTCAGTACCAAGACCCTTGTTTATGTATGTGAAGCTCTAGGAGGCCCACTGGGCTGCAGGAGTGGGGTAGTGACAAGCTGAGTGGAACCTAAAATTGTCCTGATTGCAGGTAATCAGTTGTGCCCAAATGGTACTTTCCAAATCCCCTAACTTCCTCTGGAAGGGCTCAAGCTTTCATTCTAGATTGGCACAGCACTTTCCATCTTCTCCCTTTACCTCCTTTCAGATGTTGGTGGTCTTGGTACCAAAGAGAAGAGAAAGGAGATGAGTAAAGATAGCCCATTTCCTAGCAACATCCCCAAAGGACTGCATGAATGTCACAGCTCCTACTATTAGCAATTATGTTCCTTGGAGCCAATGAGCCACCCTCAGTTAGAGCACAAACGAACCAGACGGAACTGCTCGTAGCTTATTAAGTGCTAGCTTATTAAGTAACTTATTAAATATTAAAGTTGTTGAGTATTAACCTTATCAGTAGCTTATTAAGTAGCTTATTAAACATGATATAGGGCAGTAGCATGAAGTGAATAAAAGTTATAGTGATTATACTAAAGAGCTAATGATACAGAGAGGCTCTCTTAGTAGATCAGGCACTAAGCTAAGCGTGCCTTAAGTATTCTTTCCTTTAATCCAGAAAAACAATGCTGCCACCATCACCCTTGCAAACTAGAGAGCTGAGGCCTGAACATAAAGCGTCTTGCCTTCAAAGTTATATACCAAAGACCAAGGGAGCATGAACCTGGACTCTATCACAGGTGGTATGACTGAGCACCTCCCCTTCCCATGCACACATGTCAGCATAGGGGCTGTTTGCTGGGTTGGAGCAAGTGGGATTAGAAATAAATGCTGCTGCAAAATGTTGGGTGGGGCACATGTTTAGTCCCAGGGGAACTACAGGGAGTAGCATGCTTTTATGAAGTCTCAAAATGGAAACTGCACCAAGATGCTCTTTGGTGTGTGTGTGTGTGTGTGTGTGTGTGTGTGTGTGTGTGTGTGTGTGTTACTGGATACTGAACCTAGTTTCTGGTACATTCTAGGTAAGTGCTTTGCTTTCCCACTGAGCTATAGCTCAATTTTGTTGAAGTTTTTGAGACAGAGTCTCTCTAAGCTGCCTAGGTTGACCTTGAACAGGCCTCAAAATTTTTATATACACATTTTTCATATATGTATGTGTATTTGGTATATACAAATGTGCCTATGTGTGTTTGCTGACTTGTGGGCACACATGTGGTAGTTGAGTGTAAATATATGTATTTGCCCATGTAAGCTCTGAAGTCAACACTGTCTTTCTCCATTATTCTCCACCTTATACTTTGAGGCAGGGTCTCTTGTTGAACCCAGAATTTTTACTAAGTTGGACTAGACATCTTATTCCAGGAATGCCCTGTCTCTGCCTGAGTGCTGGGATTATAGGCAAGCCACCACACACTCCCTGCTTCTATGTGAGATCTGGGGACCCAAATTCCTGTCTTCAGGCTTCATGGCAAGGGCTTTACCTACTGATACATCTCTCCAGGCCTTGGCCTTGAACTTGTGATTCTCCTGCTTTAGCCTTCCTAATTCTCACTAATTCCAAACATATTATTCTTTCCCATTTACTATTTGTATTTTGGGTCTTGTTCCTGGCCTGTGGTGACACTCATGCATTCTCTACTGCAATGTCTGTGTATATTAGGTTTCTGTGATTGCTGGGATTTTAACTGTGTCATTACTGTATTGGTCTAGCTCTGTGCTAAAAACACATCATTTTACCCACTGCTACTGTGGAAAGGCATCCACGAGGGCCAGTTCCCATAGTTTAAGTTCAGCTATTACTCTCATTATTGTTTTCGTCCCTCCCCCCTTATTATCCCTCTTGTCAAGGGAATATCTAAGCTATTTATGGACCATGGTTCTAGGGACACTTGCTCCACCTTAGACAATTCAGTATGGGTTTCCATTCCTGTGTCACTAAGTCATTAAATATCTGTAATATTGTCTCTTAGGTTTGCATGTTGGCACTAATGTAAAATATGAATCTGAGGGATTTCTCGGTTCTAGCTATAGTGCTCAGAAGAAGACTGTCCACTTTTGGGTTCATCAAGGGTATCAGGAGACATGAGCTAAGGAAATTCTATTCAGCACCATTTCTAATGGTCCCACAGAAACCCCACAATGTCAGCACACCCGTGCACCTGCCACTCACACAGGCTTGTTTCAGGGGCAAGACACTGTAGCTCAAACAAACCCTCTATCTGCTCATTCTGCCCCCCTTGCCAACTTCCTCAATTACTGCGAGAGCTTTTCCAACTGTCTGGTTCCCAGCAGTAGAAAATCTGAAATCATCCTAGGCTTTGAGTCATCATGTTTTCTCTCTCACTGTTTATCAAGCTGTCAATTCTATACCAGAGTCTGCCAATCCAACCTCTTCTCCTCCCCCATTGCTGCTGTACCTTGATGTTCTGGACAGTTTCCCCCAGCCTCCTATGCCCCCAGTCTCCCCAGCCCCACCCTGTCCAACAGCTATTTGTCTTGCCTGCTGAAGAGGGCAGGGGGAACCCTCTGCCTTAGTAGGAAGGAGTGATTGCCATGGCACTGGTTATAATAGTGTTAATACTGTCACTAAGTTTGTTCAGTATTGTTGCCCACACACACACCCCTTGCTGTACCTGGTCATTGTTCCACCACTCTCCTTGGCATTGCTACAGATATGATATGATCATCCCACGGGGATGCTATGATGTTGAGTTGAAACTGTTTTCTGAGATATCCGTGGTGAGCATTTTGTTACTATAGCAATTATTGGTAATGATATTATTACGGGCTCTCTGTTTCTTGTTTGGCTGCTGTCTTTTTGTACACACACCCTTTCGTGCCTATTCTAGATAATCCCTTCCACGATCATTGTTGAAAGAAGCTCTGCCAAACTGTTTACACTGCCCTCGACTCAGCAAGCCCCCCCCCTTCTTAAAAAGGCCCTTTTCTTGCTCTCAAATGCCTTCCTTTCCTCTCCTTTCATCCTTGAAGACCCATCTCGCAGCCATGTTTCCTGGGATGCCTACAAATTGCCCAAGAAAAAGCAAAAGATGAATCTCCGTTTCCATGTGCCCCTTCTCATGTCTGCTGTAATTCTGCCTTGCTTCACTCACGTTTGTATGCACTTGTGCAAATTAAGT